AAAAAAAAAAAAAAAAAAGAAAAACAGTCACTTTGGTTGTCCAGACGCTTTTCTTTGCAAGCTCCTTTGACTACAATGACCTGGATGACTGAGAACCTTCACAGACAGTCACTTTGGTTAATAAAAAAACCCTCTAAACATCAGATTTTTTTTAAAGGTTATGTTAAAGTTTCTGTTAAACTAATATAAGCTTAGTTTTACTGGCACTAGCTTCATATTTAACACAAACACATAAATGCATGCACGTGTGGGCGCAGGCGCACACGCACACAGATATTTATTGGTCTTCTCATATATCTTTCTGCAAAATCTACAAGTGTTGAACTAAGCAGCAGTAAACAATTTATCATAAAAGCTGGGATAGGGACATCAGCTAGCATTGCTATGGCTAACCAGCATTAGCCTTTCGTTTGTCAAAATAGGGGTTTATGAAGATTATACACCCCCTTGCCACTTTTTCAAGTGTTCAAATGTTATGTTATTGCAATACCTAATCAGTCAATTATAGCATCATGGACCTGAACCCAACAGATATGCAGCAATTGTATGATGCTATCATGTCAATATAGACCAAAATCTCTGAGGAATGTTTCCAACACCTTGTTGAATCTATGCCATGAAGAATAACGTTATGAAGGCAAAAGGGATCCAAACCCAGTATTAGAAAGGTGTTTCTAAAAAGTCTTTGGTAAGTGTATATGTTCAGAAATTACAAATGATTCTTACGAAAAAGTAGTTGCTAGGTTTCTTAAAGAATGAAACCAGAGAAAAGCCTTTATCCACCTATTACACAAAATATTTAAAACCTTTAGGATTTCTATTAAGGAAAAATATATGAGCTTTGTTTGGGATTTTTTTCCCCTCTAGATCAGAAACATTTGGATTATCTTGAAGAAGGTTAGCCTAGCCTAACATAAATACTGGAAACATAAAAAAACAGCTAGCTTAAAATGAAAAAATGAAACCTTAGGCTACATCTTTAATTAATGGAGACATAAAAGTGTTAAAAATTATATACTGTGTTTGGCTGTGTGCCTTATGCTAAGCTAACCAAACTGCTTTGTTGATGTACACCTCCATGTGTTTATCAGTGGTATGAATGGTATCGTTTCATTTTACTATTCAAAAGAAATGCAAATAAGTGTAGACAACATGCCTAAGGCTAGCTGTATCAAACTAGTTGTTTGATATTTTTCCCTAGACCAGAAAGACCAGAAATACTATTCAAAAATAAAAGTATTACAACTGAGGAAGGGGATGAGGGCTGCGTGGTAGTAAACATATCATGTCCCCCAACCTAGTTTCCAGCACAGGCCCCAAGGACTATTGCTCAACTATGAGCAATATCCTTATTTCTGTGTTTTAGTACCCAAAACCTAGAGTTTGAACAGCCTGGGCAAAATGGGGGTAAAATATACTACATTGTGGTTGATTTTAAAGCATCTACTCAGCATTTTGATACCATATTACACCCACTCAAAGTGAAATTCTCACTTTAGGAACTGGCTCTCAGCACTTGTAAAATACGTTTCTCACTTTTTGTGCTCTTTAGTCTGGCAGAGGCAGCAGCGTACACTCAGTCCCAGTGAGAGGTCTGGGAAGCTGGCAGATCTCTCTCCAGCAATCTTTCTTTGTATCATACTCCAGCACACTCTTCGCAACCACTTCCTGCCCGTTACTCCACCTTCTCCCTCCGAAAACCAGCAGATTCCCAGATGACATGGATACCATGCCGTAGTTGAAGGAGCCAGTGAGAAGCGGCTTGAGTCGCATCCAGTGATCTGACCGTGGATGGTATCGTTCGATATCACAGAAGGGTTCGTACATCCCCAGCAGTGCATAGATATAGCCATGAGCAGTTGCCAAGCGATGACTGAACCTGGCGATGGACATGGATGCCCTCTTTTCCCAGACTCTGCCTTTAAGATCCCAGAAGAAGACCTCTCTGCTGCTCTCCCTGCTTTCATCCTGAGTGTAACTATAGTTACCCGGAACACCACCTGACACATAGATGCTGTTGTCAAGCACAGCAGAGGCGTGGCCATAAAGTGTCTGAGGCATTGGTGGCCCTTTCCTCCATGCTGCTGTGGCCATATCATAAAACTCCACAGAAGCTACAGAGGCATGTGTGTTGGTGTCTGGTCGTGTGTGTCGTCCGCCCAAAGCATAAATAACATCCTCCACCACGCAGCAAGTGAACTGTGCCCTCCTGTCCAGCATGGACTCCACCTGCTCCCAGCAACTAAAGCGAGGATCGTACCGCCACACCTGATTGGATGTTGCTACAGTAACAGGCCTTTTCTCATCTTCATCTCCCTCTTTCACTTCATCTCCTCCAATCACAAAGAGGAAACCTCCCACTGAGCACACGCAGGGATTTCTCAGTCTCAGCGGGAGAACACAAGTCAAAGATGAAAAACTCCTCCTCTTTGGATCGAACGCCATCACCTGCTTTTCTGGCCAATCAGTGCTGGACCCGCCACCCACAAGAAGCACGCAATTGGGTGATGCTCTAAGCGTTGTCTGCCGGCTCTGCCTGATGGGCTGAGTTGAACCGAGCCTGTGGTACTCGGATGCTCGTGTCAGCTGGCTCCTTATTAAAGGTGTGGCCATGGCTCTGTGGGCATGGCTAATATTTGTGAGGTCAGACGGGGGGACCAATCCAAAGCGCAAACGACTCAACAAAAGATTTGATTTCAGGAGTGGGAGGGGCCCATTATCATCCAGCCAATCCAGAACCAGCTTTATGAGCTCCACCTCCTTAACACTAGGTATCTCATCAGCATCTAGAACCACCAACAGTGATTCGATATTCAATGTCAGGAGATTGTCCCTGCTTTCTTGTATCAAGCTTCCCATCTCCATGGCAATGGTTTGATTGGCAGCCTCAAGTGCATTTGAGAGGGCGTGGCGCTCAGCCAGGTTAGCATAGTCACAGCAGTTCTTGGCATTTAAACCATCAGTCATGTAACGCTCGCATATTGCCACAGCTGTTTCCACCTGCAAGTACCTGCCTGTTTCCAGGACAACAGGAAGTGTGGAGGGTGAGATGCTGAGCCAACCTGAATACAGGAAGTCCAGAATGGCATCTAAGCCCTCTGGTGTTAGCGCAGGGAGGCTAATGGAGCCTGCTAATCTCTCTGCAGTAGTCTCTCCAAAAAGGGCCCAAAAATAGTCACTGGAGCTGGCTAGAAGGGCGCGATGACAGGGAAAAGATATGCCGCCAGTCTGTAAGACAACATCACACATCTTCCTCTGTGAGCGAAGGCGCTGGAAGCCAGAGAGAAGTCCGGTTCTGTGGGAAGAACTGTAGAGGACAGAGTAGCTATCCATCCAAAAGACGGCAGACAAGAGAGTGGAAATGATAGAAGGAAGGTAAGGAAACTTTTGAAAAAAGTGAAAGCAAGTTAAAGGAAAAGATTTGTCAGGAAGGAGCCAGGAAGCAGCGGTGAAGAAACATTAAATACAGCAAGCACAGGAAAAGCTGAAGAGTGAAGTCAAAAAAAGAGGTTGCTGACAAGCCGGCACCAAAAAAGTGTAAAAAGAATTGGATATTAGTCGGAGAGCAAGAACAGGAAATGAGAGGCGCAGGAAAGAGTGTGTCTCCTTCGGCAAGCTTTCTCCATCTGTGTGTTTGTCCTTCTCTGCCTTCACCAGCGAGCATGTGACACCATGATGCGGAGGTTAATAATGGCCCCCTGCAAACACAGACAATGCTACAGCCCGCCCCCTTTTTGGCACTTTAACATGAACCATCCCAAAGCCCTCATGTCTCTTGCCCTGATACCCCGGCTCTATTGGTTTTGAGTTTGTCTGCTGCCCTTTTCTCCGTTTCCAAGAGGGAGTATCACCCGTGAATCATACACACCAACCAACCAGCGAGCATGGAGATGCATGGATAAACACCCTGACCTCACACCCAAAGAGACCGAGAGGGAGCCTGGCAGGGTTTTAGTGTCTATCCCAGTGGATGAACTCATTGGTAAATACAGCTGCTACAGTCTGGGACCAAGATTCCAGGGCATGCCACCAATCTGCACTCTCATGGCGACAGGAATAGTAGCGCAGACACAACTCGGCAGATGCGGCGCGAGGTAGATATCAAACCTGCGGAAGTTTTGCCAGGCTGTCAAAGATTTGTCAAGTGTCACAAGTACTTCATGGCTTTTGGTATTAGAGTTATCCGTGCCCTTTTGGGAGGCATTTAACCTTTTTATGACCTGCAGTCTGTCAACATCACACAGATGGATGTCATGATATTATTTTTATGCAGGGATAGGAGGCGATGGTGGGCGTAAAGAATAGAGAGATGATGAAGCATCAGGCTACAAGTTAACTAATGTGTTTACTGTCATCTCATTAATGCCGAGCTACTCTGCGGTGCCACTCTTTGTCTAATACACAAACAAATGCACATCAGTATGCAAACAGCACGTTATTGAACACTTTACAAGCTCTTGCAGGGCACGTTTTGCTCTGAGTTATGATTGCCGTCTCTGAATAGATGCTGGCTCACGCTCTGAGGTGAGTGTGTATTTGTGCGCGTTGGTGTGTTTGTTTTATGGAAGGATTACATCAGTTCAAAATTCAGCACACAGGCTACTCACAAAGAGAAAAAAAACAGACTCACACCTTTTTTTCCTTTTTTTTTGAAGCTACAAAGTGTTTTTAATCTTTCCCACATAGTGTCAGATTCTCCCATATGGTGGTTAAATCTACACCACTGTTTCTGAATATTCCACCGTGACCTGATGGAAGCTAAACTTAGCTACAGCTGCTGTGTGTGTGTGTATTTATCTGTCTTCAAGAGGGCACAGTGATGTTAGGATGGATATGTGGTGTAATGCAGTGGTATGTGGCCCATTCAAACTGTAGGATTTGAAGGTTTAGGTCATGATTAAAGTGAGTCTGTGCATTGTCGTGCTCCTGAGTTCTACCTTAAACCCCCTAAAAATTCCTATTACATATGCACATAATTCAAAAATAATTACAGCTGGAGATACCAGAGTTCACCCCCCACCCCCCCCACCCCCCTTCAGGCGCTGCAAGTAATATGAAAACAACACTCCAGGCTACATTTTCCATCACAGTAAACGGGAAGTTTTAATTTGGTTTTGTCAGAGTTTCAGGTTGAGCAGACTATTTCTTTTTAAAATCAGTGTCACACTCTGTTTACTGCCAATCTCCTGACACCCACATGAAAAGACCAGAAGTCTCAGCCAGGATATAATCCATTTTAAATATGTCATCCTGAAAACTACTGTCATGTCCTGTCGCCGTGCTTAGGCAGTCTTTGTTAGCGAATATACACAGGCTGTCAACTCCACCAGGAAGATGATATTTTCTTCTAAAGGACAAAGTCACAAGACTAATGTCAAGTGCTAAGGTGACACACGCACATGGACAAGGCAAATCAGCAGTTACAAAGTGAACATACAAAAGGAAATTTTCAAAATAGGATAACAAAGGTCATCAGGATTACGAGGTTATTAATGGTTAACCAATAAAAACCAGCAAGTCAATAAAAATATTTCTTTTTTTCTGGAACTGTGGTTCTCTGTGCTCTGTGCTTCTTTTGGGGTCCCCCTTTCTGTGATTGGTTCCCTTCGGTCTCGCGCTTCCTTCATTCTCGCCAACCCTTGTGGTCACTGTTGTCCTGGAATCTCCTGTAAAGGAAACAAAACACCTTTCCCTGCTACGCCTCCATAACCTATTATGTTCATCAATTGTTCTCTTAATTCTTCAAACTTGGTTCAACCTATCATGTTTGGGACTCTCTAATCAAAAGGATTAGCCTAATTATTATTTATGTGTGTAAGCGTGTTTTTGCATTTACCCCTCCGTACTCTAAGCCATTCCTACAACATATCAGTTCAGACAGTCACGCTGAACGAAGCTTTTGACCTCCACATGACTGAGTAGCAACTCCTATGAGCACGATTGCAATGTGTTTATAAACATCATTTATATATATATATATATATATAATCTTCAATGTTATTCATTTGGGTAAGCGCCACTTTTGACACCCTTTTAAGAAGCTCTCTTCTTCTCTTATCTGATCACAAACATCCTGTACAAAAAAAACTCTTATTTTGCAAGTGCAAAGTTTCCAAGCAAACTGTCTTAACTTCCTGTTATCTGTCTCTGCAAGCATTTTGTTTTTACATTGACCTTTTACTACACTCTGTCACCTTTCACTTATTCTACTAAAAAAAAAATCAAAGAGAAAACAAAACAAGCATTTTCAATCAATTAAGTTTAAGCATAAAAGCAATTACTTATGAATAAGTTTTATCATAGCTAAATTGTCAAACACCCAGAAAGTCCTAACATGATCATAAAGCCCCTTATTTCAACTTAAACCCCAAATCCCTCCTTCCTGACACACTTTAGGTGTCACTAGCAAACACGCTAAAATGATATGGCGGTTTTTCTATGCACTTATAACACCTCATAAAAGTGTCATAATTTTTTTATTTCATCACAGTAACATTAAATTTATACCCATAAAACTTTAGTTGTGTATGATACATGGTTGCACCTCACCATTTTAACAGTAACATTACATTTATACTCTCAAAATCTGTATTAGGACATGACATATTGGCCTAAACCCACTCAGCAATGGGCTAAAATTACCCTTTTTTTTTCATTTATCCAGCTGTAGGTCTTTAGAAATCTAATTTCTTATTACACAGTCGGTTAACATTACAAACAATACTGTAGCGTCAGCATCTATCAGTAATATTAAGACACTTGCACTCCTGTTGTCTTTTGCTATAACAGATGGAGGCATAAGTGATAAACCGAGTTTGGACAGGATTTTTAGAACCTTTTTGATTTATTGCAGTGTTTTTTCAAGACATTTTTGGAAACATCACAATAAACAACAAACGTATGATTATTTCCCCCCAAAAGCAGTACAGCTGACCTTAAACCCCACATACAACATTAGCAAAGGAAACATTTATTATTGTATCAATATAAAGTATCAATATAAATCAGTGGTGAACAGCTGAAGTGTCACCACAGAGTTTATTTGTTGCTGAGATGGATTCCTCGAATTTATATTCATTGTCAATAAAATGTCCTTTTTAACCATCTACTTAACAGAAAAGCAGATAACATGCTAAACAGTATGTTGTAATTGTAACACAAGTCACTCACTTCTAAAAGTCCAGGTAAACGATATATTATCTGAAGCAAGACTGTCAAGAATATTTGAAATTGTTGTATAAATTATGATTTAATTGGAAAGATAAATAAATATTTCTGTTAAACTACTGATTGGAGGAGAGTTTATAAAAACTGAGGCATTAGTATCTCCAAACATGTTGGGATTGGGGTTGTATTTTGCCATTCTTCAGAGTCAGTGGGCAAGTCTGTGTCTATGAAGATTATCTGCTTTCCTCTCCGCCTGGCTGGAGAATCCTGGAAGAAAACAGGCAGATATGATAACAGGCAGGCATGGTGAGAGATTTTCTTTGGCTGCTATCAGCCGTCTCAGAGCTGCCGACCTCTGACAGACTGTCTGTGACGTTCTAGACGATGAGGAGAAGGCCAGTTTACTACTGGTAGCTGAAATATGGAAACATTCTCATGTGCAATTAGCAATGCTGACCCTTCAAAAAGCCTGCCTCATATTCTTGAAGTAATAAACAAGAAATCCATTGAAGTTTTGCTTTGATTTTTTTGTCTTCAGCTAATTCTGGTAAGATATTTGCTTCTCAGCTCTTGGCCAAAAGTACTTGGACAGCCATACTTTTCTCTACTTCACATCTGGGGTTCTGTTTTGTAAATTGAGGCCCATTCGCTCCTGTAAAGGAAATTCATAATGCTGCTGTATACAATGATAATTTAGTTAATAAAGTGATCCAACTCTGTGCCAACAGTTTTGGGAAATTTCCGGCCTGTTTCAGCAAGGCCGTTTCCCCATGCATGAAGCCAGATTCATAAATAAAAGCGTTTGCCAGTTTTGAGTGGAACTTCGTGTCCACAGTCCTGTCCAATGCTTTTTGCACAGAGCAAATCCCTGCAGGCAGCTTCCAAAATCTTGTGGAAAACCATTCGCCAAAGAGCCTAGGCAGTTTTAGCAGCAGATTAATATCCACAACTCTGGGGGAAAAATGGTAAACAAACACAGATGGGTTTGACTTTCAGGTGAACACTGGAATGAAAATTGCTGGTGGTGCTGTATCTGTGTCTCCATAGTGTGTTCTTTATAAACTGCATAAAGACCTGATAAACAATAATAACAATAATCATGATAACAGATGTATGAGGATAGTGTTTATATAGTTTATGTAGATGCAAGCTCATAAATATCTATGAACTTCTATTATAAAACCAGGTTAAATTTACGTTATTTTTCTTTTTCCCTTGTGCAGAATACTAAACAGCTAGGATGTGGCTGCTGTTGTTGTTGCTGTTTGGAATAATTTTCCATGTTAAAACTTAAACCAGCTTCTGCTTTTGTTATTCCATCTCTTCTCTCCCTCATTTAGAACACCTACACAGCACACCCACGTGGCTTGGGCTGGGCACAGCAGCCGCAGTGCTTGGATATTGTGGTTTCTGTGTCCCGCTGGGAAAGTTGCAGCACAGACTGCCACTCAGCACTCACACTCATTTTCTAAAACACACACACACCCATAAAGTATAAATATAGCATCTGACTCAACCTGTCCAGCCCCCACACACACAGAGGCATCAACACACATGATGCTTGACCCAAACAAAGGCTGAGCGGCCCACACTGACTCCATGTGTTGAACTGCAACTACTGCAAGTAATTATTGCGTATCCTCACCAGCACCATACAATTAGCACACATTTACAGAGATATGAGTAGACCAATTTGAGTATCCGGTTAGGGTAGGATGTAAAAGATATACAATAGCACCATTTGTTCTCTTACCATGCATCAAAGAGACATACTTTAGCTAATATCAGTGTGTGCAAAGTTGAGGTAAAAAAGTAAAAATAAAAATAAAGCAGCGCTAAATATTTATTAAAAGACACTATATCACAGACTGTAATTGTTGCAAGATGCCAGTGTGACTTTTTAACTCTGCATATCTTTGCTCTAGACAAAGATGTGTTTGATATTCTTACAGGTGTTTCTTGTGGTCATTCATGAACTCTTCAAACAGTTTGGAGACATTATCAACTCTGCACATAACCCTTCTTACATAGTGGTTATATAGTGAGGATTCTCATATTAAACACGGTCAGAGTTTTAAGTAGTAAGGGTCAGCATGAGTCCAAGTAAGCTAAGGCTTCAAACAGCTCTAAACAGTTGGCCTCCAGCTGTTTTTTTTTCCGCTTTTGGCCCTTTGTGATGTTAGTGAGAGTGGATCTCCCTAATATGGTCATCTCAGGCACATAGCTCCCATCCACCTGCTCCAACTGTGAACGTTTGTTCACTGCTTATCCATTCTTTAATTAGCCGCAGTGACCGACAGCTGGCTACACTAGGAGGAGGTTAAAAAAGCGGGGATTAAACCCTAGAAACCCGAAGTGCTTCAAGGTATTTTGTTTAAAAACAAATCTCAGAATGCAGCTCAACTTTCAGCTAGGCTAATGCTAAAAGATGAAGATGTATAAAAAGTTATGTAGACAAGTGAATAGCTGAAGGTGTAATTAGCTTTATGTCGCTGAAATAATGTGTTGTATTAATTTTCAGGCTGAATGGCTTGTGACCACTATTTCATGGAAGACAAATAGCGTATTTAAATTTAACTAAGCAACTCTTGTAAGCTGATTTTAATATGATAAAAGCGATCATGAGCACTTGGCAACAGCAGAAAAGCATTATGCTATACGTAACTCTGTATCCAGTGTTTTCAGTCCAGTCAGCATTTCAGAAAATTTCCCTCACCTATTAAAAGGGACATATGTAGACACTGTTTTATAGAGCTTGTGATTAAAAGACTAAATCCACTTTTTTATACCACAATTACAAGGTAATGAGCATAATATTTACCAAATGGAAACATTCTCCTATCATCTTCATTTTTGTGGATGTTTGCGTTTTTCACTCTCATCTTCTGGGTCAGATTCTCAGAAGCTGCTGATTCAAGACTGCTTAATTATGTTTTCTAGGAGGTTTTCAGTTTGTTTTATGACTCTACAAGAAGTAACTTTTGTTTGCAGAAACAAAGGCAGCCAAGTGCTGACTTCAAGGAAAGGTGACATTAAAGGAAGAGGACAGTGGATTAACTGAGGAGTTGCACCAAGACAGATGTAAACCTACTCTGGTAGAGTCCAAGAATAAAAGTACAGAGCTAGAAATGAGGTCAAGTTTACCCTAACTTGCAAAACCACACTCAGTAACACTTTCAGATAGCCTCAATAAAACTCAATATTAAAACCCCAATGAATGTAGGATTTACTGCAAGACTTACACTAGTTTTACCTAGATGTACCAAACAAAACAGTCTACTTCTATTAGATCTAACTCCGAAAGGATTGTACAAATAAATCTTACCAATAATTGATGCAATTTTAAACATGATCACAGTATCTGTATCAACAGAATATGTACTTTAAGCTTTCAAGGTAGCTGTAATGAAACCACTACTGTAAAAAGCTTTTACTTGACCCAGCTGTCTTTGCTAATTATCTCCAACCTTCCATATTTCAAAAATTCTTAAATTGCAGTCCTGTGAGACCTCAGTGCAGCATTTGATACAGTATCACTGACCACAGTATTTTACTACCGAGATTAGGATATGTTAAAGGAAATGCACTGTCTTCACACACGAAAGTCAATTTTGGAGTTCCACAGGGTCCTGTGCTGGGTCCAGTATCATTTACATTAAACATGCTTCCCTTAGGCAATATTTTACAAGGCTGTTTTCTTGCATTATTTAAGATTTATGACCTTGCATAATCTAATCAGAAACAATTTGTCTCAGAGTGATACTGAAAAGCTAGTTCACAAATTCATTTCTTCTTAGCTTTTTGGGTTTTATTGTAGATTGTTTTAAAATTTACCTGAAAAGACATTTGTTAATCCAAAACACTATAAGGAGAGTACTGACAAGGCCTAGAAAGACAGAGTATAATTCTCCCACATTAGCTTATCTTCATTAAATTACAATCAAATTTAAAATCATTCTCCTTACATACAAAATCTTGAATGATCCCATCATATCTTAAA